TCACAAAATATATTTGAATCTATAAAGGCAGTCGAAATTAATTTAAAAAATGCATACTACATAAGTAGTCCCTTTTTATAGTACATGCTTTGTCTTGGCGGTCAGAAAGAAGCTCGTTAGAAAGCCGACAGCCTGAAGTATCTAAAATATGTTGAGATTAGGCTGTATGATCGTCTCTTTTCCAACCATCCGCAATTAATATGTTCCAATCGAAAACGTATTTCAAAATTCCGGCAGATATTGCATGAGATAGTGAATCTACTGTAGTTCGATAAACACACGTCAGTCCAGTCAAAATTTTCCCATAGTAAAACATATCGCATAACTAAACGGTTGAGGACAGCTTACGCTACGGTTTCGTAAAATGTCTTTTCATGCCTAAATCAGACTTCCATATAGAATAATTATTATGCTCCTGAACGCTTCTGCAGCAGGGGGCTTAATTTTGACAGAGATCACTATGTCACCGGTGATAAGTAAACATGCTATAGTTATCCAGCTACAAAGGTTATAGGATTTGAATAAAAACGCTTATATCCTAATTTTTCTCAAATGCAGTTCTTTTCGAGAAATAAAAATCCAGTACTGGGCACTTAATTGCATTTTCATTGAAAATTTACCACTGTTTTATGCATCGGTAAAAGTGGATGTCATTTCTTTTCCTCTTTTAGCTGTCTCTAAAAAAGAGGTTCAGAGTGAACATGAAAAATCAGGTGTATATGCTTTCTGTTCAATGTTGTCAAAATTCCCATTAGAGAACCCAAATGACTATTTGGCGAGCATAAAAAGCCTTCGCTAAATTCTTCTCGGCCCATTACATGCCTGCCAGGTAGTAAACTACCTGCATCTTCCCGCGCTTTCTCTCCCTTCCGCCCTCCCCTATGTCCTGATTTAAAAAAAAACCTTATTGCCTCGTAACCAGCCAAATAATATCAACTTCCACCCCTCGTCATCCCCATTCCCAATACAAATGTGTCTGTATTGATAAAAATACTTGCACTCATGTAACCGTAACCCCCTTTTTATATAAATTTAAACTTATTTAAATGCTTGCTTTAGGTGTTAGAATCTATCTAGGCCAATTTTGTTTAAACTAATTTTTTTAATGACCTTTTATCTAGAAGTGCTGGGGTTTACTATGCTAACAATTCCTGTCAGATTGGACTCAAAGCCACTAACAACAAGCCCGTATTTGGGTAAACTGAGTATTTCTCAGAGGGCTATGAGATAGAGTCGTCTCGGTTGTGTCCTGCGTTCCCCTTTTGAGATCTGTCAGCTGCAGTTCAGTGGCTAATATTATTTGAGAATTCAATTACCGGCAAAGACAAGGGAAACTGGATGGGTAAATTCCGAATTGTTAACTTTCCCCAATCAGCCACATCTAGCTACTTAATTTGCCATCCCATCGCGACACTTTAGTTAAAAATTTAAGGCACTGACCAAGTACCACTATGAGATCGTTTACTGCCTATCTGCCCTGTTAATTAGATCCGTTCGCAACCAACAGGGCAAGGGGCCCGTTCATTACTGGTAAGAGTGTATGAAACGTGTTGCAGATCCGAACCTTGTAACTGCAACACTTCGGTTCGGATATGACTGACTGACGACGGCTAATGAGCCAGAAAACACGCCCTTCCAGTCAACTTTATCATTTAAGGTTACGTTTTGTTTAAGAAAGGGTAGCCACTTTAACGTTAGCTACCTATTTTTGCTACTCAATGGCTAATCCAACTTTACGTCAATTTATATATTCTCCGTCGTATCCTTGATAGCTCATTACTCAAATAACACATATCAAAATACATACCACTCACTAACTCTGCCAATGAATTTGCATTTGCTAAGCAGCGGTGAAAATAGTCAGTACGTCCTACGAAAATAAGTGCGCTGTTTTGCCTATTTTTGACTTATTGTGTCAAATAAGGTATTTCAGTTTGACAAAACATTGATTAATTACATGCGGAGCCCGATAATCCTCTGGCGGACCTTAGATTGATTGCCTGAAAAATTCTCTTCTGGCAACCACCTGAACGTATCATATTTGGTACACGCCATACGTCACCATACGCTGGCTGAATCACTTGACCAGGGTGAAATTAAATTTACGGTCCACCGTGCACATTCAGGTTGGTAGAGATTTGGCTGTTCTCATGTTCACTGCCCTAACCATTAAGCCAGGGCCCCTATTAATATCCAAGGTTCGAGAGTGAGCCATAATGCCCCATCATAACTTGTCCCGCAACACAGTCGATGAGTGTACCACTACTGTTAGTTCTATAGTCGATCGCACCTGGCAAGGCAAGTCGGCTGCTCTATTGTTGGAGCGTTGGAATTCTAACCAACAGGTACTGAGGTCAGGTCCAGAGTGTGGTAACAGGTGTCATTGAGCATTATTGGCTGACGACCTTGTGTGCAATATGTTAATACCTATGAAACACAAACATGCTCATAATCTTGAGAATTTATCTTTTACTTGACAAGCATAGGACAATCCTAAAGTCACTGATGTCAGTTTACCTCATTAATCATGTAAGACCTACCGTTAAAAATCTAAAAATTCATAAACAAAGTGCATTTAACGTAAAGTTTGTGTATCTTCTGGAAAATACTTCCGCCTACCTGTCAAAAACGGAATCGGTTTTACAAATATAAAATAAGGTGGTTGAAGATAACATTAAAACAGTTTAACAAATGCATGCAAGTTATACATTTCGAAATTTCTGATTTTCGGAAAAGGGTAATCTGCAATGTGCA